GACTCTAGTTAAAATACGTGTGTTACGCCCAACTTTAGGCTCTCTTTGACTTAGTTTTGCGTATTTAAGACTCCAGTTAAAATACGTGTTTGATTCCCAACTCTAGGGTCTCGCTCACTAATGCGCTTTCCATCTTCTGTGAGTCATGTACTTTGACATAAGTCTTGCCTGCCGGCGCGTCAATTTTGCTGGCATGCAGGGTATGGCAAATGCAAGGGCGTCGAAATGAAATTAAAGCCAGGCTGCGCTGAATATGCGCTGAAAGCTGAGAGGACCTGCGGGGGGTAATACGGGCGCTCGGGCGTGCCAAGCTGCAGCTGAAAAGCAATAAAAGTGACAGCTAAAGTTCCATGTTTCTGTGCATTCCTGATTTATTATCATCACAATCATCATTATCGTCGTCATCATCGCCATCATCATCATCATCAGCCTAACTAATGGAGTTCAATTTGTGTGTGGCTTGTCGCTAGAATCTCAGCTAATTTCAACATATTCACAATTCACAATTTGCCTTTCTCACATGTGCATGTGCATGTGTATATCTACAGAGAATTCAATGGCAATTGATTGCTTTGAAAGTATTCTCAAAGAAAATATCTTAGCCATAATTATAACCGGCGATTGCCACTACGAACCAATCAGAAATGTTCAGTGGTTCGATTCACGGCTTAAACCAATACCTCGCCTTAAAGTCAGTTCATAAACCCACCTTTGTACTCAGGTGTCGGTTCGAATCATGATTTTCAATGTTTTTACAATTTTCAATTGGACTTTTCAAATTCTTGTATATTAAATTTGTTTTACCCACCTCTTTTTACAAACACAGACTTTTCAATTTATTAATATTTTATGTCTACCTATTCAAGCTCCGGCTGTGCCTCTTCTTCCCTTAGCCCCACACTACGGCCCCGAGGCCGCTACACTACGCTGATACTTGTGAAGTTTTTTGTAAATCCAGGCTGTAAACTGGGTTTGAACCGAACCGGTTCTAGCCTGGGATTCCGTTCATTTTGCTGCTATGAACTGAACCTTGCACAGAACTATTATAGTTTCACAAATAATTACTGAAGCTAAGCCCAAACAATATTTTTGAAAATATCGGTCAAATTCAAGAAACTCTTGTTTTTAATATTTAAAAATTCCTTTTGTGTTATTTACATAGAAGTATTGTCATACAAACATGTATATACATATGTACATATGTATGTACATGTATGCATGTACATACATACATTATCAAGTTTCACATATCTATCATACGTACTAAATAAATTGTACATATGTATATATGTATGTATGAACATGTGCCTCTAGTATGATAAACATTCTCGGTATTGTTCTAAACTTCTGGCTCCAACAATATTGCTGGGCGAATTTCATTCTTAAAAAGAAGCCAAACGAGTATTGAAGTGCATTCATGTTGTAGATTCATATGTGCATATTTATGTATGTTACATGTATTGCACTCGTTCACAAATGAGTACATTTCAAAAATATGTTTCCTAAGCCCATTGCGGTAGTCGAAAATTGAAAAGATGGACTTTTACTATTGAATTTGGCGGGTTGCAGGTTTTATGCATTGTAATTGGGCAATATATTCGTTAAGACAAAAAGTTCCGCGAGCCTAGATTCATGGTTTAAAAAAAAAACATGTTTACAAACCGAACATTTAGACGAGACGTTGGATCAAACCGTGAACCGGACAACCGACAAAAACTTCATGTTATTAGCAAAGCCGAAGACTACACTTCGAAGAAGGTTACAATTTCGAAGGGAAGGGGAAAGGTGTTCAAAAAGAGAAACACATATTCTGCCTACATTCTAGATTTGGTGACTCTAGCTTGTAAGCTCCGACACATGATCCAAAAAAAGGATGTTGATATCGATTCTTATCGAATTCATGTAAATGGTGCAAGTTATCGATGACTTGAAAGAAGATCAACGAATTCATATGTAGATACGGACGGAAGGACAGATAGACGGACATCTCTATATCACCTCGGCTGTTGTTGTCACATACTATACCTGGCATAAGGCCAGTAAACCTTATTACCCAATTTCAATGCACAATAGAGGCTGAACACGTTTGACATACATACATATGTAGATGTAAAGTCAACCACAGACAGATTACTTTAAGCGAATGGTGTAAATAAATGTATTTCATGGAACAAAATAAGATATCATTGCGCATATGTATGTTTATAGTTGCTGATAGGCATGTTTTTATTAAAAATATGTATGCCACATCAAATGCCACATCACAATCAAATTTTCGGTTTTCTGTAATGAAGTCAAACCCGATCATCACGAATAAACGCGGTTCAAATGTAGTTGCAAAATCATGCCTTCTACTTCGCTTTAAACGCGGACTAATCAATCAAATAGGTGATTTTTTTAGAAGCAATTCTAGTAGCTGGTTGTTGTTGTAATTGAACTTCGAAAACGCTTTGGTTTTCACAAATGCTGCATGTTAAAAGGCATTCTGGTGGAAGGCACAAGCGCATGGCATGAAACCGTCGCTGTTAAACTCAGCTCTTTATAATGCCTTTAACTTCGGCTAACTAAGTGCGAGCCAAAAAGAGAATAGAATGCCGAAGTATATGAACTAGGATGTGTTTAGTTTTCGTGAAGTTATTTAAAATAGTTTTCATATTGAAATTCCAATTACATGAAATGACGCATGAGAAAAATTATAAGTACATCTAATGGGAAGCTAAATTGTTTGCAAAAGCAGCTTGGAGTGAGGTAGAGGATATCTTCTAGTAAAGAAAATCTCCCAATTGAACACTCTTACTTGTTTCATATAAATTTGTGCGATATTAGATTTTCCAGTTGGTTAAATCGAGAGTTACGCATTTAAGTACGCAAATGTCAGAGATTTCCCCAAAGGCGGTAACACCCACAATTTGGCTATGCATATCCATTTCCCTCAATCAGCTAGCATGTGAATTAAATGGATAATCATACGAGTACACTCACACTGGCCCCTCCCCCACTCAGCCTGAAATTGCAGTTTTCGCCCACTTTTGCATACCCATGAGATTACCATATAACAAATATTGAGCTGGCTTGCGAGTATTTCCGTGCGGACAGTATGTGATATATATTTACCTACAGATTATCGTCTAGCAATTTGTATTGTTCGATTTGTTCGGCTCGAATTGTATATTGCCTATGGCGAACGTCAGACGGAAATGCCATATTAATGAACATGTTTCTCTACCTACTCACCTACTCTTACTTACTCACACTCGTACACTCACACGGTGTTCTGGCCACAGTGGACTCTATGTAAGTGTACATCACATACACCTATGAACAAAATAATAACTACACTAGTTTAATGTAATATACTCTGAAACCTATGAAAATGGGTTCAAAGATTAAATGGTTTTAAGACTTGATTGATTAAGCTTAACTCAAAAACTATAAGAGCGGGATGCCCCAGATTGGGAATACTTTACTGTTTGGTTACCCCCCCTTTTCCATCTATAATTCAAAAAAGTCATAATAACAGGGTTTTACTTACCGAACCTTAAACCGGGGAAATCGATCTATTTTCAGTTTTCAGTCCCCGCATGGGCGTAGGCAAAACATTTCTGGTTCAATTTTTAGAGGAGCGCGTCAATACTCTAAAAGCTAGCTCTTAAATTGTGGAAATCAGGCATTGCACAGAAACAAATCCATGCTTCTCTTTGCGAAGGGGTACTACACATACATAGATGCAAATGTACCTACATATGTGAATGTAGTATATGTCATTGGCAATGCAAATACTTAGAAACGGGATGTACATGTCTTTGTATAAAAATATGCATATGTACAATATAGAAAAAAAAAATTAACAAATATAATAGAAAAAACTTAATGAACTATATTTGTAAAACCAAGTTTGAATTTGGGCTCGAAAATAATTTATATTTCACAAATTCGGTTCGGGTTTGGCTTATAGCAAAAAAAAAAGAAGGAATTTCGGGCTGGAATCTGTTCGGTTCATCTTTGGTTCAAACCGTGAGCCGAACCACCAATAATTTTCATGTCTGTGTATCCCGGGTTTCCTTTCCCAACAAATTATTTGATTTTCTATCATTTTGACCATGGGTGTACATATAAAAGTCGAAATTACACTTTGATATTTGATGTGATTGCAACACAATTGTTTTCCGCTTTAATGACAGTTCGTTTGTGTTTGAAATTTGCAAAATTTAAAATTACAAGTAAGAGTTGTCTAGTAGGGATATCCGACCAAAAGACACCCTGCTTATATTTTTCACATTTCCCGTCTCTAGATTTTGTAGTTGCTGGGATTCAGGCGTTTACACAGACTGGCGGATAGATAGACGAACATGGCTAGATACACTCAGTTCGTCGTCCTGATCAAGAATGTATATGATTTATGGGGTCGTTACATTCATTTGCACAGAACCCATATACCCTTATTACCCATGTTCAATGCAAGCGTAATGAATGCTACTGGCTTTACATATTTAAACAGAACTCAGTCTAGCTGAAAAAGTTCGATTTTAATTTTTGCGAATTGAATTCACAAGCCCCCAACCATTGTTCGAAACAATCAGTTAAATTGGCTCAGTGGAATGGTGGAATAAAACTCTCGAATTCGAACAAAAGTTTGACTCTTAATTATTTATACTACATAATAATGAAAAGATGGAATACCTCAATTGATGTGTACATCAACATGCAATCTACTTTTACAAAGCTTTACAATTACGGACATTGTGTCGCACTTTTTGGGGTTTTACTGCACTTGTGTGTATGTGTGTGTGTGGGTGTGTTGTTTTTTTAATGTTTTTCGAGCTTTTTCGTTGTTTGTGGCACGCACCATGTTGTTGCCGCTGCTGCTCTTGTGGTTGGCGGGTTGGTTGCCTGACAGTGGCAGCATCACCAAAGCTTTTAGCTCATAAATCATTTCCGACGTGTTCTTATTCACTTACTCATGCTCTCTCTCCCTCTGTCTTTCTACTTATTTCCAGCAGCGTGGGATATTGGCAACTCCGTGCAGGACGCGTTTGTCATTGCCGTGGAGGAGCACGCGCGGGAACGTCTGCAGCGCTTGGCGGCCCTGAATCGCGTTACGCCCGTGGATATAACACAGCTTTCCAAAAAGGTAAGCTCCAGCCAAGTACTCCTTGGTATATACTCATATTCGTATTTGCCGCCCGTTCTGGGATATATTTGCAACTCAATATCATCTTATGACTACAAAATAGATCATATGCGGACAGTATTAAGACCTTAACTATGGAATACCAATTTTTTAACATATCCACAATAATCTATTCTTTCAAATTGTCAATTTTTTTAAGTTTATACAGCAAATATTATTATCTCTTATTTGATGTGTATTTATTGAAAGCTCTAAATAATTTCATTATTTTGCTAACAAATTGAAAGCTTCAAATTCAAGCTTTAATTTGATTTCTTTTTAATTTTCAATCAATTATCATTCCCAAAAATATTAGCTGAACTTAATTAATCGATGAAAGCATTAATAGTTTTTCGATATTTTTTTCGTATATAACTATCTTGCGAATGAATATCTATTAAGGTTTATATTTATATAATGAATTTGGGCTATGGGTCTTATTAGGGATTTTTAAATTTCTAGCTTCTTAGAGAATATTATATTATTATTTGTATACTGTATATTGCATAGAGGCAGATATATCTCCCCCCATAAAGTATATATATCCTTGATCAATATCAACAGCCGAGTTGATATGTCCATGTTTGTCTGTCGGTTTCTATCTGTCCTAAGCTTTTCAAGGGTTCGTATTTTAAATAAAGGCAATATATATGTTGGTATCGGATCGAATCACTATATCAGATAGCTTCCCTAAGGATGATTGGTCAAAAATTAGGTTTTTCTATGAACAACTTTTCTCTTCTCATGGTATTTAATCCAAACTTGGCATTTATGAACTCAAAAAATGTATAAAAAAATCATTTTGACATCGGACTACTATACCATAAAGCTGCAATAGGGTCAACCCATTCCAAATAATGTGTTTCAAGGGAATTTAATCTTCGGCATGTCCAAGATGGTCTTAGCCAACTAATTACTACCCATATTTTGCCAGAGCAAACAGACCAACAGATAGGCAAACGGATATGGTTTCGCCCATATATACTTATATATATATAGGTCGGAGAGGTTTCCATCAGTGCGTTTTATATTGCGTGACAACATTAAGGGTATAAACAAGAACATATAATTCACGTTCTCTTCTTGGTCGTTCTGATTCGTGTCGCGAAGGAAAGCACCACACGCGCTCAACTCTAGCAAGAACGTGCCTCAACTTATCTAAAACGATTTTCTATAGCCAATCCGAAACTGAAAGCAATCGAGTTCCTTTCGAATGTGAGGCGAACCGAGCCACAACTTTAAAGGGCAAACATTTTTTCACAGAATTAACGAAGAAAATGAAATTAAATTGAATTTTGTGTTGCAGTTTTATAGCACACGAGCACACGCACACGCACAGCACACACACACACACACACACACACACACACACACACACACACACACACACACACACACACACACACACACACACACACACACACACACACACACACACACACACACACACACACACACACACACACACACACACACACACACACACACACACACACACACACACACACACACACACACACACCACACACACAAATGGCATTTGGTATACTCGAAGAAACCAGGCTCGAGCAGAGCAGCTCCTTTTGGCCCGACGGCATTCCGACTGACCATTGTAGCAGTCCGGAGCACTGGGAAAGGATGGGAAAAGTCGCCAATTCAATTAAAAATTCAACAAACAGAGCACAAAAAAAAGCAAATACAAATGCAAAAGTCATACGAAAAGCAAAATAAAAGCTAAAAGTGAAACAAAAGGATGTACTAAAAATAGAAGGCGGAAAACACAAACTAACTGAAAAAATAACTGCGACTATTCCAGTTTCAAGTACCCGCCTCTTAGATACCCTGTAGGCAGCACCATTTGCAATATTATAAACTAGTATACGCGATATACTATGGAGAATTTAGCACTCAATAAGCTTGGGCTTCAAAATGATGCCTGCAATAAACTGCAAAAGATTGTTGCTGGTTCGATTCACGGTTTGAGACAGCGCTGCGCCTTTTGGTTAAGTTCCCAGGATTTGATACCAGTTTTTAATTTTAAAGTTTTGTTTTATCGAAATCAATTATAACAAAACATATATTTTTATGGTATAGTATCTTCTGGCAAATACTTAACGAATTCCAAAGCTCTGTTCAGACGATATACATGCTGGGGTGGAAAAAGATCTTACTGAGACCAGACTAGATAGCACTGAAAATATCTGTAACTAACAAAGTTACAAAATGTTTTCAAATGTCAAGCCAGTCGAAGTGCAGATACCCTGTACCCTGTGCCGAGCTGTCGTTGCAAATATTCAAACTCCTCTCATGCAAACATCCACAAAAACATGCAGAAGTACAGACAAAGGCGAGTACGCTGCAAACTGCGCACTTTACGCACCTGCTGTGCTTCTTCTTTCTTTAGCCCCATACTATTGGGAATGCATTCTTGAATAGCTTCGGTTTTTTAAGTCTGATCCTTGTGGAATTTCGCTCTAGGATCTGAAAATGACACCCAAATGTATGCATATACCATAGCGCAACACTCTGGCTGGGTTTTGTGTGTGTGTGTGGTTTTTTTTTTTTTTTTTTTTTTGCTTACGGCATGGAGGTGAAAATCTTCGTAAGATACTGATGGCCCGGGCCAACCGTATGCACGATTCGCTGACTCCGTCAACACCTACGTACTAAACTCACCCCCCACTCACACACCACATTCCCCGCGGGATCACCGCAAAGTATTACTTCGCGGGGATGGGGTGCCTATTTTAGGCAGTCTCCATTATTCGTCGCTCCTTTTCGCATCGTCTCAGATCCCTCTGGATGCCTATTATGAGCTGACTTATATTCCTCCAGTTGTCCTCTCCTTCCAGCATGAACGTTACTAGTCCCTCAGCTGGGGGTACAGAGCCTACTGCGTCTCTGTACCTCGAGCATTGGTACAGCACTTGTTCCGGGTCTTCGTTCAAATTTGGGCATGTCGGACACTCAGGGGAGTCCTCATGCCTGAACCTGTGGAGATACTTCCTGTACCCGCCGTGTCCAGTAAAAAACTGCGTTAGGTGGAAGTTAATTTCTCCGTTCCGTCTCCTAATCCATTGCTCCAGATTGGGGATTAGTTTGTGTGTCCATCTCCCCTTGTTCGCCGTGTTCCATCTCTCCTGCCAAGTTGCCATTGATGTTGCTCTCTCCGACCGTCGGATGACGTCTATTGAGACAGCGTCGCCTGTCGCTATTCGTGCTTTGTATATGTTCTCCATTTCCTTGGCCAATATATCTACTGGCAGCATGCCTGCCAATACTGTGGCCGCCTCGTCCGACACCGTCCGGAATCCAGAAATAGTGCGGAGTGCGCTTAGCCTGTAGGGGACTGACATTTTCCTTCTGAGGCCTTTCTGGCTTGCAACTGCTGATGCCCATATCGGTGCAGCATAGAGCAGCACGGAGGCTACAACTCTCGCGAGGAGTAGGCGTCTACCTGCTCTAGGTCCTCCTATGTTTGGTAGCATCCTCGAAAGGGCCGCCTGCATTTTTGCCGCTTTCTGGCTAACATAGTCTACGTGAGGACGAAAGCTAAGCCTGTTGTCTAACATGACCCCCAGATACTTGATGGAAGCCTTTGACTCGATACTAACGCTGTCTACCTGAAATCTAGCAAACTCAACTATCTTGCGGCTTGTGATAAGCACAGCCTCTGTTTTATGGCCTGCCAGCTCCAGGCTAGCGCCACGCATCCAGCTGGCCACGATCCTTATGGCTGCATTCGCTGCCGCTTCTACTTCTTTTATTTCTTTGCCCACCACTACTAGGGCCAGATCATCTGCGAATCCTATGATTCTGCATCCCTGGGGCAATTGTACTCTGAGCACCTCGTCGTACATTATGTTCCACAGGAGTGGTCCCAAGACCGACCCCTGTGGGACCCCTGCTGTGACCATGTAGCTCCTAGTACCGTCTTCCGTATCATAAATTAATAGTCGATCGGACAGGTAGTTGGATATTATACGGAAAAGGGAGGACGGTATCCCTATTCGGTCTAAGGCTTCCAGTATGCGAGACCAGCTTGCTGAGTTAAAGGCATTGCGGATGTCCAACGTAACCACCGCGCAGTACTCCTTGTCTCCCCACCTCCATCGGGTACCCTCTATTGCTTTAGTAGCAATATCTACCACCGCCTTAATTGCGTCGACCGTAGATCTAGCCTTACGAAATCCGTATTGCTGTTTGGACAGGGCCTCTTTCTCTTCAACCACCCTTATTAGTCGGTTGTACACAATCCTCTCCAGAACCTTTCCCGCCGTGTCCAGTAGGCAGATTGGCCTGTATCCCGAGGGTTCCTCTATTGGCTTATCCCCTTTCGGTAGGAGGATTAATTTCTGTCGCTTCCATCTCTTGGGAAATACACCGTCTTGCAGACATCTATTGTATGTCTCGGCGAAGGCGTCGGGTTTCGTCAGCATGGCTAACTTTAGCGCCTTGTTTGGCACCCCATCTGGTCCTGGAGCCTTTTTGTCGTCTAGCTTCTTGCTTGCCACTACCACTTCGTCTGTCGACACCTGCCGCACAAGTTCCGTGCTGCGTGAGCGGCTGACGACCTCCAATCTTGGGGGATGGGGGAACAGTGCCTCAACTATAGTGGCAAGTGCGGTAGGACAGGTCACACGGGTTGTTCCCTGGCTGCGTATCTTCTTCGTGACTACCTTATAAGCCGTGCCCCACGGGTTTACATCGGCCTCGTCGCATATTTGCCGGAAGCAGCTGGATTTGCTTTGTTTGATACATCTTTTGAGGTCTCGCTTGGCTGCCCGCAGGTCATCCAGCCTAGATGCAAAGTCTGGGCGGCATCGGGCTCGTTGGGAGCGTCTTCTAGCGCGTAGGCAGGACTTCCTTAGGTCGCTGATTTCCTCGTTCCACCAGTAAGCAAGGTGCTCCTCTTCTATTTGGCTTCCTCCTGGGCATGGATAAGTCGCACGCGTCCGAGA